GGGCCTACTCGGGGCACACGAGCCCTGGGGGAGCGTGCCCTGCTGCAGGGCGCAGCAGTTAGGGCCCTCGGCGCTAACAGAAAGGTTGCTGGTTCTAGCCCACCAACCGCCCCCCCCCAGGAGAGAGAGGAGGCAGTCTACTTTGCAGGACCTGCGTCTGACACCCCCGGGTGCTTTCTCTCTGCCCTGTAGGGACAGAATGGCATCTCTGCCAGGCTCCCTGACGTGTGTGTGCAGACCCTCACATGAGGGGGCTCAAACAGGTTGTACAAGTGGAATGAGAAGATTTTGGAATTTTACCACAAACTCTTTGAAGCCCCTGTGCAGGGGTGTGCATGCTGCCCGTGCCAGCAAATGCCCCCAGAATCCTCCTCTCTGGGCATTGGTGGTCCCGCCCTCGGTGTTGGCTCCCTGGCAGTGGTGAAGGGCTAGGCAGACGTGTGGGCAGACTCCTGACTGCGGGTCAGGCGGGTAACAGACGTGGGCCTTCCTGGAGGGACGGTGTGTGGTCAGTCTAGGTGTGGGCGCAGGGACATAGATGTGTGGTGCCCAGAGGAGGGACTCCATGCTTGGTGAGGGGACCCATGGGGATTGGAGTAATGTCCATGGGTGTCGGGGTGATAGCCGTGGGTGATGGGGTACCGGCCATGAGAAGAGAGACCCTCTTCCCTGATGACTACCTCCTTGATGACTCCCAGCCACTCCCACGCCCCCACCTCAGGCTCTTTTGGGTGGGCCAGGTTGGGCCCCTGACCTGACCTCTTTTCTGGGTCCTTGGAGAAGGGACCCTGAGGCTGGACGTCTGCACCTTCCTGGCTCATGCCGACCCCCTGGCCCAAGTGGCGTGTACGGCATGTACCTTCTTCTGCCCAGGAGACGACCCCTCCTACATCTCCAGTGTCCTCAGCTTCGGGTGGCCTCCTATCTGAGCCCCAGCGTTCTGGGGGTGCCCCCATTCCTCTTCTCAGAATTCTCCTGAAGTATAAGCTCGGGTAAGACGGGGGCAGGGCTGCTGCCCTCCCCCGCCCAGTCTCCGCTTGCTGGTGGGGGTGTTGAGGTCACGGGCCGGGAGTATGGCCGGCCCCCTGATGCCCAGTTCCTGGCTCTCAGGCCTGCCCAGCAGGCCAGCACCAAGAAGTCTGCCTCCTCCGTCCCAGGAGGAGCCCACCAGGGCCCGTGTGTCCTGGGCCCAAGCCTCAGGGCTCCCTCCAGGGCCTTGGAAGAATGGGGGGACTGACTGGTCGTCCCAGAAGCTCCCCAAGACCTGCAGCTCACATTCTCTCCTCTGTCCTGCAGGCCCTTCCCATCGGAGGAGACAGCAGAGAATGACGATGATGTCTACCGCAGCCTGGAGGAGTTGGCTGAGTAAGGAGGGCATGGGAGGGGCAGGGGCAGCAGGGTGGCTTGGTGGCTCCTGCCCAGAACACCTGTGGTCGGGGACCACGGCCGGTCCTGCCCTCATGCTTCTGAGAGAGGGCACGTGCATGCCTGGCTCCGAACTTCCCACCCGGGCGTTAGAAGGCTCCGGCACAGCCTCCTTCGCCTCCGAGGACTGCTGTGGCCTTGCTTCTGTTTGTCCTTTAGTCTGTCCACCATAGTCTCAGCGTCCTGTGTCAGTAGACCTCTGACAGCAGCAGGGTTCGTAGGGGCGCCTGCATGGCCATACTATATAAAGATTATAATAAAGTCATGGAAACTACAAAGGCCGGAGAGAAGGTGAAATAAAGGAGGCAGACACATTTCACGGTAGCACCCTCACGTACTTGCAGGCCAGGATCTCAGCTGCCAGGTCCACGCAGGGAGAGCGAGTCTTTACTGTCTTGGGATATGTGCAGGTAGCCGTAGACATGCGTATTCAGGAGTTACATGCGCCAAAGATGGGTGGTCACCACCGTAAAGCCCCTGAGCTCACCGGTGAGGACACCTCATACCTGCATTGGGGGAAGGCACGAGGGGGTTGGAAGGAGATAACAAGAATGTCTGCTTCCGTGGGGAGACGGAACCAACCCTGTGCTCACGGGAAGGCAGCACAGCTGTTCGGGGAGACTGTGGGAGTGATCTTTAAAGC